CGTTAAAAATAACTTTACTGTAAAGTAGTATGCTGTGTTAGTCCAGCAGCAGCCTCATACTTCCCACGTTCACAGCCCCTTCTAGTTGCATGAAGAAGCCACAGCAAGTGATGTGTACCGCCTAACTTTGTGTAAGTACACTGTGATGTTCAAACAATGAGGAAGTAGGGGCTGGAGGTTTAGCTCAGCGGCATAAGCACCTGCCTTGTAAGCAGGCAGTCGTGAGTTCAATCCCCGGTACCGATAAAAATGAAAAAGACCAAAAAAAAACAATGAGGAAGTCACATGCAGATACATTTCTCAGGTCATAGCCACACTATTAACTGATGGGAGGCTTCACTTAGATCAGGCACACATCTGATCTGCTGAGTCCTGATGAAGTCTGAGCCTCATGTATCCTGACAGCCACTGTAGCCACAGACACTGATTAGAAATTGGCCAGGGAGGCAGGATCCCAAACTTAAGTACTGAATGTTATGTATCTATACACTATATCAAACCCACACACTCCTGAGCTCCAAATAAAAGGAAATAATCCAGAAAGATCAGGGAATCACTACTCAGCCATATCTCATCTATTTATTTCCAATACATATTTGAGGATGGATTAGAATGTGTGCAGTTCAGTACAAATAATATAAACTGACTAGAAAGCAAAGATTACCACTCCAGCCAGCTCCAGCACAGAACTTGTGTTGTCCTGAGCATATTCCACAAGCCTGTTGTGTCCCTGTTTTTTGTTTGTTTAATGAGGAAATGATGTGTAACTTCACAGCAGTAGATGAGTATAAAGACCATAAGAGGTAAGGGATCAAGTCTAGTTTGCCAAGGTGTTGGGCCTTCTGTCTCACTTCTCTATCTACAGCTCCCTTCACACCATTGCAAATCTCTAAATAGCTATTTGGGAATTACAAATAAAATGAAACCTTCAACATTTAAAAAAGAAAAATAATAAAGACAAAAAGTTTTGAAAATTTTCCCTTTTCTTAGGGATAAAAATGGATCATAGGACTGGGAAATAGCTCAGTGGCACAGTGCCTGCCAGGCAAGCAGAAGGTCCTAAGTTCAATTTCTGATACCCCTTCCCCCTAAAAAAAATCATGAATTTTAATGGCATCTCAACTAAGTGTATTTGTCACTACAAGGTATAACGACAAACCAATTTAGCTAGAGACTGCTTCGCCTGGGTTATGTTTTTCTTTCAGTAAAAGAATACCTTACTGGGAGCTGCTGTTTCTGATTTGTGAATCTTTTGATGGATATATGAGTGTTCAGTGAAATTTTTTTAATTTAACATTTGCCAAGAATTGGAGTCACAGAGGTAAATCTCAATTCATAAGAATGGCAAACAGTGATATAGGGCTTGAATATGATCAAAATATGTAATATACAAGTATGGAAATGCACAATGAAACCCAATAAAAAGAATAGCACATAAAGTAGTACCAATTATAGAAGGTTGTTGATTAAGGAAGTAGTGTTACATTAATCAATACTAAACTGTTTTCTAGTCTTCTTTGGCCCTATTTTTAAACTTAGTTGCAAAATATTCTTCAGTGGTTATCTTAGGCAACACTGAATTAGGAAATTGAGGCAGTGTGTGGGTCACCATGCCTGACTTATTTAAGGAGATTTCTTTGTGCCCTGAGCGCTGACCATGACCCAGCTGTGTTTCACACGCAGAATGATTTGAGCATCTGGTGAGAGGCCAAGCCAATGGGGTCACTTGTATCCTCATTATTTTTGAACAGCAAATTAGTACCAGGGTAGCAATCATTTCAGTAAATCTTTTAGGACTCCAAATAATGAGGTCAGTTTTTAAGGGAAAAAATAATATTTCCTTTTCAATAAAATGGGTGTTTTAAAGTCCCTCTCTTTATGTCTTCTTATTTCATCAACATTTCATCTTTGAACTGCATGTTCTGGAGATGATTTGAATTTTCCAAATAAGGTAAGTTAGAATTCCCTAAAACTGAAATATCCATAAGTTATTCAGAATGTTCTGTCAAGAAGGCAAATAGCAGCAGAAACACAGTACTAATGAGAATCTTGTTTTTACATTGGTTCTGTTTCTGTTCCAGACAGAAGAGGGAAAATGCACATGAACTTGATCTGACCGCAGGTGCAGACACAGATACACAGACACGGAAGCACATTCCCCAAAGTGAGAAGATGCAGCATAATGCGATGCAGTCCATCAAAATGTCCATTTTATCTAAAGTATAAAAATAATAAAAAGAATTGCTTGGAAATACTGCTTGTCTCTAGCCATTAAATGTGCTTAGCTTTGACTTCTGCCTCATAACAACTGAACATGATGGCAATTTTCCGTAACAACACGCATCTCAGATGATTTACTGCTAAATTCAAACATATATTCTTTTTATTATAATGAAAGAAATAGAAGTAAGTCTGCCTGCTGAGAAACACTGATGACCCCACAGTGCTAACAGAGGGGTAAATATACATTTATATGGATATTATATTTGGGGAGAACTTGCAAAGGAATACTGCTTCCTGGAACTTCTAAAATCTTGAGAGAGAAAATTTCCTTTCTCTTTTTTCATAAATGAAGAAACTGCAAAGGCAGTTTAATTCATCCCATGTAATAATCCCGTCTGAACTTAATCACCTGTCCTTATAAGTAGAGGTACTCAGTAGAGAATACTAACATTTTACTTCTTAAATTACTTAGCATACATACATGTGGCTATACTGAGTTCATTAGTGTCCCTGATAAGTTCATTTTGTCTAGAACCTGTGGATGAGACCTTACTTGGAAAGAGAATCTCTGCAAAAATCTGAGTTAAGATGGATTAGCATGGGCTTTAATCCAATGACCAGTGTCCTAATAAGTATAAGGGGACATTTGGACAGAGAATAGGAGGCCAGGTGAAGACCCAGACCCAGGCAGAGAATGGAGTAATGCCAAGATTGCTGCCAGAAGCTGAGGAAGGATTCACAAGGCTGTTTTTGTCTCAGAACTATCAGGGAGAGGAGTCTGGTTGTGTTAACACATGGATCAAACTGGCCTCCAGAAGTATGGGAGAAAAAACTTCTGTTTTTATAGATAACCCAATTCATAGAAATTTTTACAACCACCTCAGGAAACCAGGCAAGTCGTTATTCTCCTGACCTCCAAATACAAAAATAGCTAGGTAGCCGCCCCTTTCTCTTTTCTCAAAACAAAATTTAAAAAATTTTAAAAACACAGAAACTATGAACACATAATATTCAAAGCAACCAACTTTTATTTTTCTGTACCCCATATGTCCATCCTTCTGTGAGGCCCAAAAGTAATATTTAGTATTCACCCTTAAAGTAATACTTTACAGACGGGGTTTAGCTCAGTGGCCCAAGCACTCGCCAGGCAAGTGCAAGGTCATGAGTTCGAGTCCCAGTCACCCCCCAAAAATACTAAATAAAATATTAAAAAAGATGATGATTTTCAGGTAGTCTTTCAAAATAATAGTCTCAATTTACATAGTAAGAAATGAAGGTGGGAAAAGAAAGTAAACATATTTTAGAAAATATGAGCAAACTATTAAATCCTCAAATCAGGTTCCAGTACACAATAGCCTTTTCCAAAGAATAGCTGCTCAATAAACCTTCAAAAAGTTAGTTAATTTCTAATTAAAAGTATATCAAAGATTAACATTTATGCCTGTTGATTCTCAGTAGTCATGTTCTAAACAAGTCTGCATGTCCAATTAATTTATTACTGTGTTAACTCAAAATTTTCATATTCAGTGAGCTAAATACATATGGTAAGAATTTGTTTACTTGACAGGTATTTTTTAAATACTACCATACATAAGAACCTATATTTCCAACACAAGACAGATACATCCCTTTCCTAATTAGAGCTTCAAAACTGTCAAGAAGAAATGCGTGCAAGGAATCACACTAAGGTCTACATGTCACTGTGGCAGAACAAGTTGCTCTGAGGACTCCTAATGGAAGCCATGCTCACTTGGGCTGGGGACAAAGCCCTGGGGTCCAGAGGATTCCTTTGGAGAATTTATATTTGAGATTGGAGGATGGATAGAAATTCATCAAAAAAGAAAAAATCAGGTATAGGAGGTATTTGGAAAACAATCAAAAAGAAATCCAGTGTGAAGCCAACCTGGCTCCCTGGCCGCAGAACTGCTCTTTCACAAACTGCAAAGGAGAGTGCTGTGAAATCACACCAAGCTTTATCTGTCTTGGAAGATGCAGAGGCTTTATTTCACCCAAGAGGCAAACAAGAATTTTTAAAATAGCAGTGCCAGCTTAAGGTGTCAGGCTAAAAACTTACATCAATTTTATCTCCTCCTAAAAACTGTAACCAAAACTACATTGAAGACACCATTAAAAAAAAAGTTATGAGTCCACTCAGCAGCAACAAAGGTATGGAAGTTAAACAGCTGATGAACAAAAACTAACTAATTTAACATATTCAGCAAAGCCAAATAGAAGTCTTCAGCAGAAAAGCTGAGCGCAATCCAATTAATACTGCAGAATTCTCAGAAGGCTCACAAGCTACTAAGACTGGCTGGTCCAAAAACAAAGGTAAAAAGGAACTCATAAAATAAATATAGGGATCTATCCAGCAGAAGGTATAACATGCAGCACAAACTGGTAACAAGTTTCAAGACCCATCAAGAAAATTAAACCATTAAGAAGAAATCATTCTCCACCATTTTTATCTAAAAAACTGTAAAATTAGACTGACTATGTCTTCTGTTGCTTCTTGGTAAGAGAAAAGAGAATGGAAACTAGATTTATATCTCGGAGAACAATAATAACCTGAGAAAATTTAAATCAGCCTCTTATATTGGATATTTATAAAGATGATTGTTTTAAAAATAGTAAAGTGGAACAGGCATAAATTTAAACATCTGAAATGGAAGCTGGCCAAGATAGCTTTGCTAACACTGAGAAAGGACTTGACAGAGAATGCTTCCTCAACTCTTTATCCTTGAAAAGAGTAGCCGAAGTGCTCAGAAGTGACAACTTACCTTAAATACTTCCATTGGAAGAGGAGACTCTGCAGCAGCAATAAGGGATTTTTCCAGAGCACATTTCCACTCAGAGGTCATCTTCAAAGGATATATCTCTGTATCAATAGCAAACCACAAAAGAGTTTAAGAACTACAATGTTCTGCTGGATGGTTCTTGAATTTTATCTTCCTTTGCATCCATAATACCCCAGCACGCTCAGAAATCACCAGAGTTCAGACTCTGCCTGCCAGAAATGGCCACCTACTCAAGGGAGTTTCAGAAATTAAACAGCTACATGGGACTCTGCTATCAGAAATGAAGAGTAAACTTAATACAGTTCTTCCTCAGGGAACATTTGTGCACATTTTGTGAGCACTCTGTAAGTAATTTAGTGGTATTAATCACATTAGCAGAATCTTCAGTCATCTACAGCCCCAGATTCTATGCATCACCCAAGATGTGGTAGGCACTGATGAAGAACTTATTACCTGGTAAATTTCTAAACTACAAATGACTCTTGCCTGGCATTTGAAGTTATTACTGCATATTTTTCACCAAATCTCTAAGGACTCATATGCTAAAAATAGTCCATGCAAGTCAGAAAATTGTTAAAGGGTAAATTAAAATTTACCAACCAAGTTTCATATTTACACTTGAAATGTTGCTAACACACCACATGTTGCCCATATTTTTTCCCCAGGTGGTGGGGGGGAGAGATTTATGCACGCAGGTTACACAGTCTGAATGCAAAATTAAAAAGGAAAAAATGTTGAGCACTGTTTTCACCTATTGATGAAAGTGCAGAGGAATTTTATGTCCTGCTCTCAACAGATTTAAGACCTGATCAAAATAGGATTTGCAGAAGCACTCACTGAAAGCAGATATGTTTATAACTTCACTATATCAACCCAGGATACTTCAGACAGACAGTTAGGATATGAATGTGAATTTAAGCACAGTTAAAAGGCAACATTAAACCTTTGGGCTATATTTTTAATTTCTTACATGTCTGCTTTGTTAGCGCAGAGTCATATATTTAGATTCTCAAAGTTTCCGAACTCACCTTGAGCTTTACATCCCTCTGTTTTAGCAGGTTTTTTTAGTCATTTTAGGACATAATTAAGGTGGGTGCAAAATGTTACCAGAACAAGCCAAGTTTCAATGCGGTCCCTGATGTCACTGTTCATGACACAAAGATAAAGGGTGGTTTCTGACAAAGTATCCTCTAGTCATACATATTGTGCATAACCCTTTCTAAGTTACTCTTTGAAGTACTCTTCTACTGCTGGAGAAAATTTTATTTTTTCAATTTCGTATTCCATGTCAGAACAAAAATAGATGTGGTTTTTCTTAGCAGTATCTAACAAGTTTGGGGACACATAGTAAGAGCTCAATAAATGAATGGCTCTTCTATAGGTGAAAAGGGGAGGGAGACACTGCTTGTCACAAGGTCCCATAAACCACAAAAGGGGGACAGTTCATGGAACCCTATAAACTGCTCCCTGAGGGTGGGAAAGGTCCCCTGAAGTTGATGGCTCAATTCAAGACACAGCAGCAAAGCCTTCAAGGAAAGGGTGGCAGTTCAAGAGGGCTGCGAGGAGCAAGGCCCAGTCTACACTAAATAGCAGTTCAGAGAGAGATGTAGGGGAATCTAGCCACTCTTGGGGTGTTCATACTCTTTGCTCTCTGCACCATAATCCTGACCAGTTTTGCCCTTGACTACGATCTTTGAGTAAGGGAAGGCGATTATGAAACAGAAAAGAGGACGAAGAAGTAATTATAAAACTATTCAAGTTTGACTCAAGGTTGAAAGAATGGAAACCCCATGGGGCCTGTGTTAGATCCAAGCTATCAGAACGTGGTGAGGGGCAAGCCCCTTTGGGACCGCCACAGTCTCCTGAGCCCAGTCTTACACACACTGGCACTGCAGAACTGACTCACAAGGCATGTCTGCCAAGCTGGCTCCTCCATCCATCCAATATCCCCTTCCCTTTCCAAGGCAGAGACAGAAGCAAAAAGTACCCTGGCTTGTAGGTGATTTCTGCCTCCGTTCTACAACTTTAAGATTCTTTGCCTTCTTTCTGAGGCTCAACACCTCCAAGAAGCAAGAAGTGGAGAACGATGTCCCCTGTGTGGGCTGTACCAGCTAGTTTATGGACAATCAACAGCTCCATTAAAAGGACATAAAACATTTTTATACAATTGTGTGGCAAGTGATTTAATAGCATACAATATCCCAATTTCTGTTTATGAGGAAGTCACAAGCAATTAACACGTGTCTTCATTCACCTGTATCTAGAAGCCTATAAGAAAATGAGGTCATCTCCCTCGCGCAATGATCTGGCAAGATGTTCAGGAGTAAGCGTTGTAGAAGGCAGGGATGCAGAATATAACTATAAATAAAGAAATGATCGGAAATAAGTGGAGGCCTGAAGCAGTAATCTCTTCTTGTGAGTGCCCAACTCCTGCCATCCTTCTTTCTTTTCTTCTACACTAGACCTCACCAGTGATGAAAGACAACTGGGTGGTTCAGCCAGTAAACTTAGGAAAATGTGAACTGAATGCTTGTGTCCTGCCCCAACTCACACGTAGAAGCTCTACTCCCCACACTGTGATGGCGTTACCAGAAGGGATCTCTGAAAGATGACCAGGGTGAGGATGTTACGCGGCAAGGAGCTTCAAGACGGGACTAGTTTGCTAGGTAACAAAGGAGGTCAGAGTTCCCCTGCCTGAAGAGCATTCTGTCTGAAGATGCCATCCAGAAAGTGACTTTCTCCAAGCCAGGAAGAAAGTGCTCACTAGACCCTGACCATGCCAGGTTCTAGAATTGTGAGAAAAGCAATATATTGTTGGAGCCAGCCAGCCTGTTTTGTTCTACCACAGCAACCCAAGCAGACAAATACTGAAAGTACCAACTCCTTTTTGGAAAGAGAAACAATTTAAGTTAGCATCACAAACTTCCTGACTCTTGGAACTATTTAACTTTTTAAAAAAAATCTGTCATGGTTGAAAGAAGGATTTTGAAGAGAAAAAGTAGGAAACGGATGCTAGAAATGGAGATAGAGGACTAAAAATTTTCAACTCTTTAGATGCCACAAGGACACATAAAAAGCCTATCTTGCTTTCTGAACTTCTAGAAAGTAGCAAAGCAGGGATCTTAAATGACTGCTGACTTCAACAAGCCACTAAAATATTTTGAAAAACCAAGGCAGAAGCATACGACTGATCAAGTTCGAATCTCTAGAAAATGCCAATTACTTGATGTACTCAGAACCCAGCAAATGAATAATCATCCCCATTATGCAGGGTTCGATGGCTTCTTTCACTCTTTCCCATCCCAAGCACCAGAATGTTATGTCCCCTGATATGGGTCAGACATCAAAAGACTCAACAACTATATACTCTCAAAAGTGGATGAGATCAAATCCAACACCTTTTCCTAGAGTTTCTGAAGAATTAACTTCCCAGCTACACCCTACTGTTTGTCTCTATTACTCTATGGATACTGAGTAGCTGGGAAATAATTTGCCTTTAAAAAGTAAAGAGGATAAGTGAAATCAAAAGAAGAGTTAGGACTATTTCTAACAGCAGTGAGAGTATTAGTGGGGATGAAAAATGGGAAGAGTGTTGGGAGGGATCAGTTCTTACAGCCTTCCTCTCCAAGTACCCCCAAGACATCTACCATCAGCCTCTGTTGCTACCCTTCCAACTCAACTCTGTACCATCAGTTAATGCTGGATACTATTCATCAAAGAAACAGTGCTTGAGAATAAGAAAATTAACCTAGAATTTTCTATGCAAGTTTAAAATTCTATTGCCACCTATATTCCAGTGAAGGAAATGGTACTATCATGTAAATTGTATAAGTCACACTGTGACTTGAAATTAATTTACACAAATCCAAAGTATCAGGTTCCATCCCCATGTGTAAAAACCTAGGCAGTAATTGCCTTTCTTCCCAGGGGTGCTGTTTCCCTGAATTAGGCAAGAGAATCCAGTTTTCATCTTGTAACTACTGTGTTTAAGGAACAAAAAGTCACATTTTGAGTGTCTTTTCACCTCTTATTTTATTCTTCCCAAATATAATCTTTTTTGCTGACAGTTTATTGGAGAAACTGATGAAAAATGCTTCTTTCAAAGGCATTAAAGACCTGCATGAACTTCATAGTAAAATGAACAGATTGTGTACAGAAAATTTAAGACAAATAAGCACAATTTACTCTTATACTAACAAACATGAAATTATCTCAAGGGGGAGAGAACTCATATGAAAATATTTTTAAAATTTTTACAGGGACTTTCTCTTCTAAGACACAGGATTACACATGAAAAAAAAAACATGACAGGGGATGTAAGAAGCTGTATCAAATTATTTGCTTTGCTATAAATTTTTACACAGGCAAGTGTATGTTTTCACTATAATTTAAAAAGCAATTAGACATTAAGTTGAGATTTATAGACCCGCCTTTCCCCACAAAGTAAACTGTTCCTGCCAGGTTGTGAATCCTAAAGCAAACCTAAGACCACATCTTTTCACAATATGCCTTGGCCTTTTGTTTGCCTGCTTTCAGAACTGCTCAGGGCATAAAAAGATTTCTTGGCTGCCTCTCAAACTGTTGGCAACAACAATATGAATATAATATAATACCAGGTTATATATCTACACACCTGTCAGATTTAACACAGATACAAACACACAGAATCCAGAACCAGGAAATTCTTTTCAGTTAACACCCTTGAATGACATAAAAGGTATATATAACCTCTCACTTTCACATCCTCAAGAACAACACTAGCAAAGACAGGAGGGAAATTTTCTGGCTTTTAATAAAGCTATGCACTAAGTACTTCCTCCAAGTATACCTACAAAACTGACCGCAATTAAGATCAACAATTTCTGATGGAATGGAGTACTTCTTCTGCAGTTAAGCATCTTTAATTTCTTAAGAATCCAAAGCTTTCCTCTGAGGGCTCCCATCAAAAGGTCAGTAAGGCCAGTCTGAGTCAGCAGTGGACATAGGACCTGGGGATCTGAACTGTAGCACCTGCTCCTTATGCAAAGGAAGCTTAGATGAGTAGCTGTACCTAAGCCTCATTTATATTTGCTGTGAAATGAAATTCACAACAAACAGCACTTTTTTAGAATCAAAACAAACAACATAGCAGATGTAAAAATCACCTGGTATACGGTAAACAGCCAAGAACGGTTATTTCATAAATACTGAGATTTTTGACTAGTTAAGTATATCAATAAGCATAATGAACTATTTTCTCCAATTAAGTCTATTCAAAGTCATTTGATAGTGTATTTGCAGCTATCTAAAATGGATGGTGTTCTGGGGTTGGGGGGGTCACGATGATCTCCTTGGTGCCATTTCCTGGTCAAATGGATTATATAATGATAAGCATGTGATTTAGATATTCAGATGGATGGATGAATGGATGGATGGAAAGGTAATTAGACAGATGAAAATAGAGATATAGGGATGGAGGGATGGGTTGATGTGAATGGATAGAGAGGTAGAACCAGAAATGGTGATGGGTAGGAGAAAGAAATGGGAAAAAGGACATAGGCAGATGGATAAATGGACAGATGAATGGATGGGCAGATGGAGCCTGTGGAACTTACTTGCAAAATTACCAAAATCCCTAAGGAAAAAGGGGAAGAGTATGTTACAAGCCCAATCTACTATGTCCTTTATTGGTAAACCAGTGCTTTCAAAGAACTAAATCAACTTCCCTAAGGCTTCTAACATTCCTTTCTCCATCAAGAATACTGCTGATTAAAGCCTGGGGTTTAAAGTATGCTGGAGTTAACAAGCTTAAAATTTGATGTAAAAGATCCCATAAAGATAAGAAATTCTCCAGAGACACATCTAGAAAAATATCACCTGTTTTAATAAAATATTTTACAATAGCAAGATCTTTGGCTCTTACCTGAAGGAGGGTCCATTCTGTATTTATTCTCTTGACACCAACCAACTGGTCGAAGTCTGTAATCCAAGTAAAACAACCACTGGTCATAGGATTCAGTGTCCTCCAATCCCACATAGCGAAGGCGTAATCTTCCTCCAACATTTTCAATCACACTAACTATCCAGTACTGAAAAGGGTTCTGAGAATCCTGAAGTTCTATTAAGGAATCAACTGTAATGAGGTCTATAGGGCCTTTCCCTCGCAGAGGCTGTTTAAACAGAAGCAAAACTCCTTATTTTAAACTTTATTTTAAGGTTCTCATGGAAACAGATGACAGCAGAAGATAATATTTTTTTCACACCATCATCCAAGCTATTGGCAAACAGTCTGGTGTTTCCCACCACCCCCATCCTCTGCACAGCCATTACCCATTCCACCCCTTCCCTTTCCTCCCTCACACACATCCACGTATGCAATGCTACACCCAGCAAAAATTACAAGTAAATAGAAAACAACAGTTTATGCTTTAAACAAATCACCCTTCCCCAGTAAACTTGCACTTATTTAAAAAAAGCACATTTTTAAGAATTATACCCAAATTTTCCCAGAGCTAGAAAACATGTGGAAGCAAAATGTCTACTTTTCAAATAGATATATGTATCTAATACAGAGCAATAAAGTTAAACAGGACCTATCAACAGACTTTCATTTTATGATGGCCAATACTCTAAAAATCAAGGTTCTCTGGTTTTGACTTGGTGACTCAAGTATGACCGTGTGTAGAGGAGATGTCTAATGCACATTCATGATTAGAGAAATTTGACTACTATGTAGTTATTTCTACATTTAACCATTTAACATAGTAGTTGGCTTGGGAAGTACATAATTACTGACCCTCCTAAAAAAACTTCCTTGGCATATGTTAACAGATGAAAGGGTGTTTGTTCAGCCAGCCTTATAGGCAAATATATTTTCATAAATTAACATAAAAAGACAATGTGCCCCTTTGAAATGAACATTCATCATTTTGCTTTGTTAACATAACAAATAAAGTAGCAGCTATTCAAATAAACAAAATTGTCATAAAACAAAAGCTTTTAAGTGAATAACAGCTGGTGGTACTCTGAAGTACAATACTATTTTTGAGAAAGTTAAAAAAAATATTAACACTGTCAAAATCTGAATCTTATTCCCAGTTGTTCATTAATTTTTTTCATTTTCAGAGACATTCTTAAGATAGATTTGATAACCCAATACTTAACACTTAGTCATCACCTATTCAAAGTTATTCCAAAGTTAATCTTAAATGTATAAGATAATGGGAAGACATCCTTACATAGAATTTTAAAATACATTCACATAGAGCACATCTTCCATTTATTGACCAGGGAAGATCTGTCAGTGACATTCAAATCCTATCACCTAAGTAATTCCACACAAAATTGGAATATTCAGGCTGCTTGAATAAAGATAATGTATGTACACATGTATCTCAGAAGGATATATGCAAAGGTGCCATTAGGTCTGAGTTCACGGGGCAAGGATGTGTCAGAGACATAATAGATGCATAATAACAATACATACACCTTCCAGTAGGTTGGCAGGTGCTGTCCGAGAGCCAGTCAGATCACGTATAAGGAACTCTGTCCAGTCTGTATATTTCTCTTTGATTGCTGGCAAGATAAGGGAAGGGGGAACAAAACATTTCAACACATCAGTAAAATATTAAACAAATTTAAAAGCATTACAATTTTCTGTATGTTGGTGTAATTTCAACACTTTTCTTAATTTTAAGCACCATGTTTAAATAAATAGTACTCTAATTGGCACAACAAATCTGTCAACAAGTCGTGACTTTATACCCACCAAGTGCCTGAGCACTGAGAAGATCAAAGAATCTGAGGTCCTGAGGTCTAACAACCTATTTAGAAACTCTGGGAACACCAAAGCAAATATAACAAAGTATGTAATTCAGGCGGTTCTAAGAAAAAAGAGATTGATGAGGGACAGAGAAATCAGAGAAAAATTTTCAATGGGAAAATAAAACCAGGTACTCAATTATATGAAAGGTTTATACAGTGAGGGGAAAAAAAAAGGTTCCTCCTTCCCCGCCAGTGAGAAAAAACAGTGCATGCTAATCAGAGTGAGGAGTCAAAGAGAAATGGAGAAAGAAATTAATCAGCAAGACCTCGGGGAAGTTTAAGCAAGCAGCCCTGAAAAATAATGTTGAATGGACAGCTGAGAAGGTATACAAAGACATTTAGTAAATGAGGTCTCTGCAGACAGTGAATCTGGCAGTACTGTGAAGGTTTAAATAGGGACAAAACAATTCAAAAGCAGGCTGTTGCAGTCATGTAAGTACTAAAGTGGCAGAGTGCACAAGTGAGGGGCCAGCACTGGGAACAGAGGCAACGCACTTAAGCATCTTTGGGGGTGGGGACACCAAGTCCTGGAGGCCAACATCCTATAAATGCTTAAGACCCAAGACCTCAGCACAAAGCCCCTGGGTGACTCTCCTAAGTTACAGGTCTTCAAAGCCTTACCAAAGATAACCCACGATCCGAAGGTATGAGCCCTTCAGGAAAAACAACAGACAGTAGCAGACAGCCAGTGCAACACACTTGCTTCAGATGCCACCAGCACACACTGGGATTCTCACCTTCCCACAACAAAGAGAGCCAAGAAGCAGCTCACAGCAGCTTAAGAGAGCCAACACAAAAACAAAGGTCTCCTAAAAGTTCCAAGATAAGGGCAAAATACACAAATATCCCTGATAAATACACATTTTGAATTCCATGCCAAAAGTAGAAGTCAAGCAATAAGTGTCCTGCATTTGACTGGACTTACATCCATACCCAGTCTGAAAGTAATCAATTTCCCTCTTATGGACTGCTTTCAAACATGCACACAATTCAGGCTAAAATTTAAGTTAAAATTTTTAAAATACCAAGTACCCTACAGATACATAGTACAATGCTGATTCAAACTGTCAGATTTCTAGCAAGAGAGCAGAAGAAATGGCTCTGAAATTTACATGGTGTGAGCCCTGAGTTCCAGAGCTCCTATAACTTTCCTTAATATGTTTCCGCACAGGACTCTGAAGCAATTTTTTTATGTGCCACGGAATGTCTAGATAAATTGCTCTCAAGAAACATGTTATCTATAAAGCTATAAAAGTACCCAAGCCACCTTAGGTTAAAAAATAGAGATGAAACAATTCATAGAAATGTTGCTAATTTTAGAAGAAACACAATTTAGGTCAACATTTGATTCTCAAAGCTCTAAATTTTCAAACTACAACAAAAAACATATTATAGTAAATATGGCCATAAAATTAAAACGGAATACAGTAAATTTAGAAGTCCCAGTCCATGGACTTATTTTAACCAATATTCAACTTGGTAAAAGCCTACTACAATAAAAGGTTGCCTGGGAATTCCTCAGATTTCATTGCAATAGAACTTAAATGGCCTTGTCCATGTACTCACCGGAACTTCTAAAGAGAAAAGTTAAAACTACAAATTTCTCCAGTGTAGCAAATCTCTCTTCAAAGACGCAGAATAAGATTGTGAAAACAACAATCGGATTCAAATATAAACCAAATCTTCACCTCATGATCATTATCCTCTTCCTCAAACTAAAGAACCAGTCCACACAAATGTCAGAAAACCTACATTGCCCTGCACCTAACTACAGTATCAAAGGCAAACTCTGTGGCAGGAAAGAGATTATGGAGAGAGAAGCGGGAGGTTCTACAATTTCAGGTGAAAGAATTGTTTATCCACAATTTAGCAATCACTGTCACACATTTTCAATTTATACAGAGACATTCCTGGAAATTCCCAAAAGCATACTATCAAGATCTTTCTCAACTTTCTCATAGACATTTTTCAAAGTTCTATTCAGTTACATAAGCATTAAAACTCTGTTGTTTAAGAGTCCAGATTCTTTTCTAATAATGCCTAATTTGTGAGAGAAACATTACGTTGAAGGAAGCAATCATAACCTTGAGGTTGAGAAAACACACATTTTTTGTGAGGACATTTAGAGATGCCTCCAAATCCCACAAATGCTTTATTAGGATTAGAAAGCTATATAAAAAAAGAAACCCTCTGGAATAACAAGCAGAAGATTACTATCATTTTTCAGAATTTGGAAAAGCACCACTGAAGTTGTCAACAGTATCTCAAGTGATGTCAACATACATAGTCCAGTGATATGCCACCTCTCAGGGACATTATCTTCCAAAGATAGTACAGAACCCTCTGGACTGCCCAATCAAGCAGATTATGAACAATGAGACCCATGCTGGGGTCACTGGACCCACAGCAATAGCCCATACTCCCTAGTTCCTGTTCATGTCCTCAGTGAACAGAGATGCCCAGTCACATCATGCCCTTCCATTCCTCTAGAAGATGAGAGAAGAGTTACAATGAAAAGAAAAGGTCATTTTCACTGGAACACACTCCAGGCAGGGACACTAGTCTTAATTCTATCTTCTAAACACACAGGATTTTCTGATATTCTTTTGTCTGGGCCATTTTCTAATGTCACTTTTACACCAACCCTTCTTTGAAAGTATCTTGTGGGTCACTGACTTAGTTGGTTTTTTCTAGCTCTCCATTGGTTGCTTCCTTCTAGAACCTTTCTATTAACTGGCCATTGTGAAAACTTCTCATTATGATAATGGAGATCTTCCCCCTCTCCCATTCCTTGGTTTGGCTCAGCTTTGACTCTTGGGAGTGGCTTGTTTCTTCATCTCCACTCCGCTCTCTCACACCAAAGGTTTTCTTGGAACATCTGGCAATTCCTGGTCTTAAGTCTGAGACAACAGAAAATCCAGAGAAGACACCTGTGTTCTGGAACACAGGCTTTTAACTCAGAGAAGGGACATCTGATGGCCTCCCTTCTGGGAAGTGAGCATTGAAACCAGCATCAGTGGGTCTCCCTGGACAGTTCTTCTAGATTCTTCAGAAATCAGCCTGAGGGACAAACACTTGGTATAAACCTTAGTGGCACCATGAGATAAAGGCAGTGGCAGGAACGGACAGTATAAAAGTGTCCTGACCGTGGACATTCCATTAAGCCCTTTGATTTTCAGTCCACACAGGTCTCTCTCCTGGGGATTCCAAGAAGTCCCTGGGCTGCTGCTACTCCTACAATAATTCAGGAGACACCATGAACCTTCATCAGCTGTCATGCTGCCAAAAATGTTTTGAAATTTCCTTTCTGTACCGGTCTCCCTTCAATTCTTTTGTGTTGTTGGTTTATGTACTATTTTTATTCTTTTACTAGTGCTGTAATGGGCTCTCCAGAGAAAAAGAAAAGATAAGTAAGAGTGCTCAATCCACTGAAATGCCTCCCAGCAAACAGAAGACCTGGACCTTTACAGTGAAATGTTAGGGAACAGCCTTTGACTCGTCAGAAAAGGATTTTTTAACACTGATTTAGTTAAAGAAAAGAGGAAGCAACAGTACCTCTTGAATTATAAATGGAAGCACTTACTTCTACCACAGTATTAAGAAGACTACGGAGCTCTTTCTATGGAGAATTTCAAAGGAGAATCTGCATTAATTTTTCATATTGGGCTCAAATTAAATCGTTCCTACAAAAAGGAAGATAGGCCATAAAATGGTTCAACAGGAGAGAGATGCTCCCACTTTGTGCACCGGACCACATAATGTACACAGCTGATGTTGAAACATACAGAAAAAGTATTCTTGTTCTTAATAATAAACACAATAAAGATGAAGACATAATTGATTTAAAATGTCATAAATTATACACATTCATTAGTATTCATCATAAAATAGCTTATTATTGGGTGAGATATGGCTTTAAATCAAAACTATTCCTCAGAAAGTTGTAAGGATTAAGTAAGATAAACATAAACTTCCTAATGCTTTTTATGAGTATGGTCCAGGCCTTGTAAAAACCAAAGTATTACTTGGTAACAAAATCAATCATTGCTCTTTCACAAATTCAAATGTTTATATCACTTAAGTTTCATTTCAGAAGAGCACATGTAAGATGTTTTAAACTAATTTTTTTTCATTACAAGCTTAAATTAACTTTGAATACAGTTGTACATTAACTATGACTATAAACTTATAGTCAAAGACATAAAATTATATAGAAATTTTTCATTAATTTGAAAATTTATAATTAGAATAAAAATTCTTTCCAGAGAGCATAGTTTTCTAATCTCTTATTTGCCTCTCCCTAACTTGAATTATAGTGCTAAATTTGCCATCATGATCACATCTTGAAACAGGTGCAAATTGGTACCAAAATGAAATGTATTTATGGAAAATAATTCCTAATGTAACCTCTTATGAGAATCCAATTCATTTTTAGATACAGTCTGCTTCTTCTCAGTTTTATCAAATTTGACCACTTGGTAGCAAATGCAATCTCTCCCAGTTAGGCTTAGCATAACACTCTTAACATAGCAGGACACACTGTGCACAAAGGTTATTATCCCAGATTTTTTTTTATGAAAACAGGATCAATAGGGAATAGATAATATACCATGTTCACATCAATATGAATGTTTATACACAGAAAGTCATTTATCTACTTTTTAAAATGTACACCACAGCTCACTCTGCAGTTCTCATGGTCCAGATCTCTTCCATATCTAAACCACTCTTTTTCTATGTGCTATGTAGAA